CCCTTTCCATTTCCTGGGCGCAAGCTGCTTTCAGAAGAACTCCTGCATAATTCAGCGTAACCAGTCTGCAGGGACAAAATCCATGCATCTTTGAAATTAACAACAGAGCTTTTAGAAGATGTGAAGATGAATGCTCTTTATTGTACCCTTCTCCGTAACTCGTCGTTTCTGCATTCGCCCGCATCCGTTGCGGTCGTGCTCTCAGCTGCCCGTTCTGACCAGGGCTGCCCGATGGACTGGCTGCTCCTGGGGCTCTGGTGGCCGTCCTGTGGGCTGCGCGGCTGCAGATGCAGACACCCAGCAGAAGTTTAATTTCTGCCGATAGGCGTGCTTTTCCCTGGGGCCACAGAATATTACCGATCTGTTACGGAAGGGAAGCGTCAGGAGTAACTATTGCTGTCGGCACTGGCATGTGGTTCTGGCTGCAGCCGAGGACAGATCCTGGCTTTGGGGTCAGCTCCCTCCCTAAGGGACCTCCTGGTTTGGTGCTTCTGGTGTAGCTTGGCCGAGAGGGAGGATTGCGGACGAGCAGTGCTCTTGCTGTGCACATGTCCTTTTCTGTGTTAAATAGAACTTAATGTGTTTTCTTCTTAGTTTTTCAGAAGATGTGTTTTCAAGCAGATGTCTTCCGCCTGTACCGACCTTGGCACTGCGACTGTCGGACTGCGTGCCACCATGCGTGCTTGTAGACAGTGAGAGCTTTTTCGTTACAGAATGCATTTTAACCTTGAAGGTTGCTTTTCAGTGGATTTCTTTGATCAAGTCTGAAAGACCGGGATGCGGGCTATAGTAACTTGAGCTCCAGATGCCACTTAAAGCTCCTTCTGAGAGGGGAGAGGGGTTAATAGAGAGCATCTGTCATTTGTTAGTGGCTGGCCCAGCCTCAACCCATGACACGGATTCTTCAGCTCATGCTTCTGATAAGCCCCTTTTCTGGGGAGGTGGAAGAGCTGACCAGGTTAGAGCGACCTTCGCAGAGTTCATCGCTCAATGGCGATGCAGATGGTCTGTCTTTCCGCCCGCTTCTGGGCAGGCAGCGCGCTCTGAGCTGCTCCACGAGCCTTGTTCAGCCCTTTCTCGAAGGGCAGCTTCTCCTGTGGGCTGCAGGAGATGAACTTGCTCAGCACCCACGGCCGTGCTCAGCACCCTGCTGCCCACACCCCTCCACATCAACACAGGGTGGTACAGTTTGCATTGCCGGGGATCCAGACGCTCATTTTATTTGCAATAAAAAACTCTCCCAAAATTTCTTTATTGTGTCACTGCTACGTTCCTTCTCTGGCTGACCTTGGCAGGGGTGCTGCTGTGCCCCTGCTCACGGGGCAGAGGGCTGCACCGTGCTTCCAGGTACCTGCTTAAATTTGGTCCCAGTTAAACCAGTGAAGAGGTATCCCAAGTCCAAGTTGATTTCTCACTAAATTTTAAGCCTGACTTTCCATTTCCCCTAGGTATACTTGTCCTGTTACTTCAGTTGACTGGTGGTATGTGGACAGCAAACTGAGCGTTGCTGAATTTTTTGTTGTTTGCTATTTTCTTCCTCTCTGAAATAAAAAGTATATGGACAAAAGGCTTTGCTACAGTACAGTCGGATATGCTTTTGTTTCTGAAGTCTCCCTGGATTTCATTTTTAGCCAGCTTTTGTTTCTGTGTATTTTGAGTGTTGCTATTAAGGTAGATCATGCTGTGAACTGAGATGAACTTATCCAAAAAGTCCACTTCTTGCATTAGCGCATTGTTTGCCCTGAAAGCACTTTTGGATAGGGAAGGCTTTTTAGAAATGGCTACCTTTTTTGTGAAATGCAGCTTTTAATCCCAGATTGTTTATGCGTAGGGCAACTGATGATTCAATACACAAAAGCAGAGAGGGACCCTTCCTTCCTGTTTGTGGAATGTGCTAGCTACATTTTAAAATTTTCCATCCTTCTGAAAGATACACAGACTCTGCGTCGTTTCTTTTGAACTTGGTGGGATTTTTTTACCTTTAACTTCTGTGTGACGATTAGAAGTTGATTGTTCTGGGTGGTCATAATCCACTGCATGTAATTTACTCCTCTTTATTCATACGGATAAGGAGAAATTATTTTGAAGGGGTGAAAGTCTGTTGTTCAGAAGCTGGAATGTGACGTGGACTCCCATAGCCTGTGATCATTCTACAGATTTGTTCAGATTCTGCAGCTGCAAAAATGTTTTGTTCCTTTGACATGTTATCCATCAGACCAGAAGTACTAGATGTCAGGGGAGAGGAGGAGAAGCTCTGGAGAGATTTGTTCGTTACACAATCGGAGTGTTTTCCTGGACACTTCAGTCATACGTTAAATTTTTCATTATCTTCTCCCATTGTCTAGACTAAGATATGTTTACGTAATTTCTTGCAGTGCACTTGTTAGAGCAGAGGAAAGCTTTCTTGATGTCATTATTGTTAAAAAGGCTTATTATGTTACTAATGGTCTAGCGGTCAGTGGGAACGGGACGTTGCCGCTGAGTGCTCCGAGTGCAGGCGCTGCGATGGGCTCGGGTCAGCCAGGAGGCCGAGGAGAGGGACGTCCGTGGTCTCTGGTGGTGCACACCGTGCTCGACTGTACATGGGTCCTCCTGCACGCGTGAGGAGACAAGGGGAAGGTCTGCGGGGGAGAAGGAGCCCCCAGGCAGACAGAGCTGGAGGGCTCTCCTAAACCGTCCTGGGCTGGAGGTGGCCATGTGCTCTGGCTGTCCCCTGGTCCGGCCGGCCCGGCCGCTCTGCTCCGCTCTGCCGGGGAAGCCGTGCAGCTTCTGCTGCCCGTGCTCACCTGTACGTGACGGTGTCAGTGCAGCTAGAGGTATTTTGCCATCTGTGTGCTAACATTTCACGGATTTAAGAGAAGAATTAAGTTTCACGCTCACCATGTTAAGCGTGTTGAGCTAGGATGTGTGTTTTTAAAAATCTACCTGTGGAACCGGCAGTCAAACCTGGCAATTCTATCAATTACGTGATAAATTTTATTTTACTACCTTGCTTTTGCAGAGTAAGGAACATGATCTCTGTTTACCGCTTCCTCTTGGTTTGAAATCAGTATTTTGTTTAGATTGTTAAAATACACGGGGAGTAGACTTGGTTTTTAATGAGCACAAAAAAAAGACTAGCAAGTTCATTAGTGAATAACTTACAATCTCAAACCTGATTAACAACGTGTAGCCCTCCCAGTTCTTGTTTAACTTGCTGTGGTGGTTAGCCTCCAGAGTTCTTGCTTGGATCACAGCGTTCACAGATCCGTGTTCCATGTGGGGCTTCGAGAGATGCATAAAAACTAATAATAGAATAATTTCCTATTTTGGGGGTTAGGGCCCTCGAGCTAATTTCTTGGCTTTTATTATAGACTTCTTTCTGGTCAGGTCGTTCAGACTTCATGCCTCAGGTCCTCATCTGAGGAGGAGCTCTAATACTTTCCTGCCTAAAAGACGATGGACTGAACAGGTCGTTTTTTTCCTGATGTGAAGTATTTCAGAGTCCACATTTTACAAGGGTAGGGTGCTCAGTCTTACTTCTGCAGAAATGTGGGTGATAATTTAACAATCTTTTTTAGGGCATCAGCACTTTGTACAGGGTATATGTGGTTATTTTTATAAAAACAAATTATACTTATGGAAACGTCCGTTTTAAAATTGGAAAAAGTCTAGTGGAATTTTGACTTAATACTAGGGCAATATAGTTGTTTTACCAGGACACAGTACTGCTGGGCTACACTGAATTTAAAATTTATGTACTTGTATTGTTGCCCGTATGAAATTTTTATAGGCATTATATTAAAATGAATGTTGAGGTTACTTGACAAATAAAGGAAATCTTTGTTAATGTGGTTTAAATGAGTGATTGTGACATTATAAGTCAGGCAAAGTAGATGTGAAGTGCAGTGCAGCCAAGCTAGGGGCCTAATGGAGCTTCTGTTGGCTCGTTTTCTCAATGCTGTATGGCAATTGCAGCGTTAACAGCCTGGTGGAGCTTTGATTGACTTGGACGTTTATTTTATATGGTGCAAACTAAAACCGATGCAAGAACAAAGGAGCGAAGCGATGACCAGGACGCCCCCTGGGAAGCGCAGTGACCCCAGGGCTCAGCTCGCCCAAGGCAAGGCCAGTCCAGGGCTGCACCTGATCCTGCCCCTGTGCTTCGGCGTGCAGTCTCTGGTTTTGAGGAGAAACACCCAGCGTTTGGTGCTCCAGCTCCTGGTGGCAGCCCTGTCCCCTTCTATTCAACCTGAAAATATCTGACTGGGTTAAAAACCCCTCTGGGCAAGCCTGGGGACAGCCTGGGAGCTCTCCTTTGAGCTGTTGTGCTCTTGCTTCTGCAGTGGCATAAAGTGAAGGGAACTATGTGCAGTCACTGATGGCTTTTTTTTTTTTTCCAATTTATGCTCAGTTTTTTCAAACCTTATTGGATAAGTGTAGATTCTTGAAGGAGGATTCTAGCAATATCACACTGCGTGGTGTAGGCTGTTGGTACATTAAGTTTGAAATGGAAAAGCTGTGTGTCTTCTACTAATACTACTAATACTCTACACTGGATAGTATTAATATTTACAGTGGGGAAAAGTGATTTTTCTTGTGTACCCCAAACTCCAAGAACCTTTTAAAGAAAACCCTTAAAAATCATGGTATTGAGGCGGCGAGGCTAATTTCAGGCTAATAAGGTGGTGTCTGGAAAGGTATTCGTAGGTGAAGATTGAATTTTCATAAAATAGTTTGCAGTGTTGAATTCTGTGAAGGCAACAATCTCTCTGTGTCTGTGACTTGACTGTGGGCCAGCTCACATTGATGGCTGTGGTCCAGTGAACTCTCATGGTCTTCAGATAGGCCGCCTCTTGTGCAGTGAGTTGATGCAGTAGATGGGCTGTGGTATCTCATTTTGCATGAGCCTTTTACGTTGATGTTTCATTTTAGTGGCCCTTTTCTCCAAAATAGGTTAAAGGTCTGGTTTAAAACAAGCAGTTTCAAGTAACTCTTCTTTTTTTCTTTTTTTCTTTCAGTATCCGCAGTGTTATGCAGAAATACCTTGAGGAAAGGGGTGAATTAACCTTCGACAAGATCTTTCATCAGAAAATTGGTAAGTCATATTTCAATAAAATGCTCCTCATGTAAATATTTTTAAGATTGGCTCGCCTGCCCCTTCTTTGTAATACTGCTGAAAAATCAGTGTTGTAGATGGTCTGAAGAACACTGGAATATGGACAGGACTTAGTAAAACAAAGGTCTTCAATAAAATGAAATGTTATGAAAGGGAAGAAGATGAAGCAAGGCAATCTGTCAACTTAACTTCATGTTCTGGAAAACTACTGGAAAAATAATTAAATTATTTGGAAACATTGAGGAGAAAATTATATTACTTGGTATGGGCTTGTCAGCAATATAATGTGTCACATCAGTTAAACTTTTTTTTTTTTCCTCTGCAGGGTAATAAGCCTTGTTGATAAGGGAGCAGTAGTAGAAAAGATACCATACATATTGTCTTGGCTGTCTGACATCATGTTCTTGCTAGAAACACGGGGAAACGTGGCCTGGGTGAAACTGCGGTGTGCAGGGGGCGAAACCGTTGGGAAAATTGACTTGAGGAACAGTTAGGAGTGCTTCTGTGTGAGCATGGAAGGATGTATCCAGGGAGTTTGAACAAGAGCCTCAGAGATCAGTTACTATGCAGCATTTTAGTCAACAGTGTGAATGCTGGGATGAAGAACTGCATTCTGCTTGCCTGCTGAGAAAGACTGTAACCACACTGAGGACAAGGACAGAATTACAAAGGATCTTCATAAACTAGAGGAGGGGAAAAAATGCAGTGCTTCTCAGTCAAAACACGCAGTGTCCTCTACACCTGTGCTGGAGTAATTACACAAACGCAGGGTGGAGAATCTCTGGTCAGGTAGATGTTTTTAATGGACGTGGCTGTTCTAGTGAGCCATAGGTTGTGTTGTCTGAGCCAGACCACACGGCTAAATATAAACCCAGGACTGTAGCCAGGCATGTGAAGGCATGTGAAGTAATCCTCTTTTGGCAGAGTATTGTGTCCATCCTGGCGCTGGACTACAAAATATACATGGACCTTCTGGAAAGAGTCCAGGAAAGAGCAGTGGGAATGAGCAGACCTTACTTAGCAGTCTGCTTAATATGACCTACAGGGAAGTATCGAAATAGGGTGTTATGTAGGCTCTGAAAGAGAGAAGTGAGGTTGGACAGTCTTCAGAAACAGAAAAACTGGTGCAGAAATGATGAGGTTAGTCAATTTTCCAGAGGCTTAACATGTGAATTGAAAAAAGTCTGGATAGAAACAAAACCATTTGAGTAATAGGATGGGTAGTAAAGCAGGGGGATGGATTTCAGGAGAGGCTTGTGAAATCCTTGTCTGGTAGGTTTGAGGAGCGGGTCAGCATATGTCTGCCAGGATAGTGCAGCTGCTCGTCTTCCAGAATGGGGCCAAAACTGTAGAGTGGGCTGGGAAGACTTGAGGAGATCAGCGGATCTGTTCCTGTCTGAACTACACCGGGACTGTAACGAACAGTGGGAGCAAACACCCAAGAACAAAGCGCCGCTGCGCCTCGTCTCCCAGGGGAGGTGGTGCGACGGGGGCGTCTTCGGGCTGGTTGAGCTATAGCTGCTCTCCCTTCCTGGCTGGAGCAGAAGTGTCCAGCCTTTCTGGTGCCTGGAAATGTGCGGCTTAGTCGGTATGAGAATATTCTGGAGTGGGAGTTTTAAGTATTGCCAGATTAAAATAAATAACAATCTTGATTGGTGTCACAGAGTGTCGCTAATGGATTTCATGGCTTTGTACAGAGAGGGTTGTGGAAGCACCAGTCTGAAGTGTGTGTTTGTAAAAGTCTCATGGATCTTTCCATTGTATTCCAGTAGTTGAAGTGTGGTCTGTATCCTTGTGCGTAGAAACTCAGACTTTTTATTCTGGCCAAAAATTTTATGCTGCAAATGCGTAGATACCTCATTTGCTTGTGCTGACATCCTTCAGTGTGTGCTTCAGTTTGGAGGTCTGTGCTGAATCATTAGTATTTTGCTATAGCATGGCAGTTGCAAAATAAGCGGTATTTTAAGCAGCCAAACACAGGCTAACTTTAACTGTTTCGTTCTGTTTGGTGGCAATGAAATGAAGAAGTCCATTTTTTTTTTTTTTCCTTCAAAAAATAAGAATCATCAAACAACAGCTTATATGTAATGGATGTTTCTATTTATGCAATTGGATACTTTTCATTAATAGCTGATTCCAAGGAACAGTGAAGAATGCTGCAGTTATTTTGATAAGTTATAGCAATTATAGTTAGGTAACCGTAACTTTGGAAGGATTGTATCTTTCTTTTTTCCCCCCACGTTGGTAGCCATCGAACCTGGAATTTTAGAGCCCAGGGTTTCATTAAAGTATTAGTTTTTTTCCCCCTCATCTTGAGATGCATAGTTCACAGACATGCCGAGGGGTTTTCTCCTCCTCTCTGCTTGGTACAGTCATAGCAGTACCTGCCCTCTGTTACCTGGAAATGAGGAGGTCGTTGGTGACCACTTTGCTGGAGTTTCGGTTACTCTGAAGCTGCTTTCTTCTGAAGAAGGGTTTAGAAAGGAAGAAAAAAAAGATTAAAGATAAACATGGCTGTTTTTAACAGAGGACTTTGTGTTGCACTGGAAAATATTGTGTTTCCTTACTGCGGTTGTTCATTTAAATTTTATTGCATTTTCTAGTTTGTTCTTTGCCATTAAATTAGTTCTGTTTCCAGACATAATTGCTTGTGGTAAAGTACCTTCAATTTAGGCAAGCATTATGCAAAAGGCTGTGAAAATAAATATGGTGAGGTAATTAAAAGTCTAATCAGCTTTTGACTCTTGCTGTTATCTTTTTGTATGGCGGGGATGTGGAGAGACCGCAGCTGAGGCTGGACCTGTGTGTGCAGGTCCGGGGCAGACGCCCCACGGGAGGCAGCTGCTGCTCAGAGGAGTTTAAATCAACCCGAGTCAAACGAGTCTCTGGTGAGGAGCTGTAATTCTGCCAGTTCATCCCCTTGCTGCTGGCTCTTTCTATGCCTTTATTTTCTCACTTAAACAGCCACCTAGTACACAGTGCTTTGTCCCTATATACTAATTATAAAGCTTCATCAAGCTACCTATTTTGTCATTTGGCGAGTGCTGCAGACAAGGACTGTTAAGGTTTCTTTTTCCAGACTACAGTTCTTTCTTACAGCTCCAGGTCATTGTTTTTTCTGTTTTTCAGTATGCTGCTTTCAAATGTAAAAACCAGGGCTTTGATCAGTTGTCTGATACAAGTCTTTCTGATGTCGTGTATGGAGTTGTTCCTCTTGGATGTTTTCCAATGAATATGTCTAACTATGGTGCTGGTCTTACCAGCTGCAAGTGTTTATCCTTAAAGAGCCCTTAAACCCTTTTAGGACCAGGGCCTTCCAGGTCCCACTGTAAAGACTGGCCCGAATTCCCACCCTGCCACCCCCCAGGTGTGGGGCTGCAGGGGGTCCCAGCTGCAGCTTGGGCTTGGAATCCAAAACCTTTGCTCTGCCCTTTAGGATCAGAACAAGAGCAGGAAACTCCATCAGCGAGCAGCAACGTGGCAGCAGCCCTTCTGGGGATGAAAATGGCCTGGAGGCTTCATAAGATTTGCATAAACAAGAGTCTGCCCTCTATTTACGCGATTTCCTTCATGAAGGCAAATAGGTTGCTCTCTTCTCTTGAAGATGGCATGGCTGTTTGCAGGAGTGATGCTCCAGAATGATCTTGAACTCTCTAAGAATCGCCTAATGAGTCAGAGGACGTGAAGATAATAGAGCCACCCAGAAAAATGCTCTGGCGGCGCTTAATAGCCCAGCAGCCGGCTGTTCCCGCAGAAGCTGCTTCCTCCACAGCAGAAGCTTCATGGGGAAGTACAGCATGTCTCGAAGCGGAGTGCGTAACCACCTTTAGCTGCTTTTCTGCTTACCACATCCTGTTTGCTACAGCACCAGATTATGTGTTTGCATTAGAAAAAAAAAAAAAAGAGACGTTTTCTGGTATCCCACTATCTAATTGACGTGTGGAATCCACTGTGCTTCGCAGCTGCGCTGACACGGCACGTGGGGTTCTTCTTGTGCTGCCTTGCGCGCCGCAGGCTGGGCACGCGTGTGGGAACGCGGCTCTCGGAGGGCAGCTTCGAAATGAGCTGTAATGTGCGTAGCTGCTGGGCAGATGGGGTCTGCTGCAGCGGGCGTAACTGCCAAGTGTTCGAGGGAGTGAGTTAGGTCATAATATTACTTTAGAACAGGATTATCTGGTTATTAAATGCTTTGGAGAAAACCTGTTGCCAGTTATAGTTCAGTGCCTCTTACGTCTGACTCTGGACTTTCTGGCAAATTGCATCTACTCGTAGGCAGTGAGTAACGATGGCTTAGAAATTCTGGGATGTGATGGCAAAGCATCCTACAGCTTCAGGGCCTGGCTTAGGTTTGGCCTGGGGTTCTCTGGTGACTGCTTGGAAGTTGGTGGGCCGTGGCAGTTTGCCTACACCCTTCTCAGTTTCTCATCTGTTACACAGAGCTGTTGGGTTTGGGTCTCGGGGAAAGATGAGAACAGAACATATTTTAGCTGTTTCAGCAGCTGGTCATACTGCAATATAAGCTTTTCACCTTGCCTAGTAAGTAACTTTCGTTATTTTTTCCCCCTGAAACTGATCTAACTTCTGTTTTATTTTCTTGAAATATAACACTTGTAAAAAGAACCAATTAAAAGAACTTGTAGTTGACGTAACAAGTTACAAAAGTGGGTTTTTTTTCCTATTTACCATCCAGCCCTGTATAGTGAGGAATGATCTTTCTGGGGTGATTCATTTAACTGTCTTTTCTATCCTCTTAAATCAGCAGGCTCCAAGTTGGAGGTCTGCCCAGCCAGGGTGAGCATTTTGCCATCTGTATCAGTGCTTCTTCCTACACGCACATGTCTTGTGAGGGGCTCTCTCGCTTCTTATCTGCTCCCTTTATGCTGCTGCGGCTAAGTATAGCTGCTGTATATTCTGGTGGCTTCTTAGCTGAGTTTCCAGAGCAGATGAGGGTTTGGTCTGTTTTGTAGTTCCTTCTGCAC